CGTTAGCGAAGTAGGCTGTAGGCGACTCCCTAGACTCGTTAGTGGAGTAGCGAGCGTACGCGTACGTCATATTATGATAGTACCAGCGGTACGTTCCGGGTATCCGCACCATACGCCAGGGTACGTTCCGCCCAGCTTACCCTGGAGGCACATAGCCTTCTCACCGCTTGCTGCTCCCTCTACATCTCGATCATTGTTATTACATTAGTACTTCCACTCAGTCCTGTTAACACCTGTAGGGCTGGTGCTGGAAATAGCATCACCAGAATGGGACTAGAATGTCCAGAATAACTTTTGAGCAGATCCAGCTAGGTTTTTAGTCGATTTTCACTACTGTTTACATAGTAGCAAATAAACAAATTAAAATATCAGACTGGGTTAAGCAGTCGTTGCACAAGACATGATCTATAGACAACTGCATAGACAACTTGGACATACCAGCACGCAGGGTAGCGGCAAAGTCATAACACAATAGCATGCCTACAAGCAAAGGGGGTATATTAAAAGGGTTCTTATAGTTATACAGAACAGGCCCACAGCGTGCGCACCGCCCGTTGTATATTTAACATCGCCGATAGTGAAAAGTGTTCCTGCCATTTACTTGAATAAGTACGTATCGTATCTATACAACCTATAAGTATATCAATTACATCTGATAAATTTGGAATCCATCGATGCGCGCTTTTTTCCCAAACTGGCCATTACCTTCTTTACGGAGCTATCGTCTAATTTCCCCTCAAGAAGAAACCCAGAACACATCACCAATACAGAAGACAGAAGGGTAGAGACCTGCTATGCATATATAGATCTCTGTCTGCAGGCAGACTGAGCGTTGCTGTACAAGCCGCACACAGCCGGCGATTAACACACAACGCCAACGGAACAGAATTTTTACCTGTACAGCACACACAGACAGCGAACCTCGCAACACACTCACTTTCCACACCAAGCCGATAATCCAACACGGTAGTCTGCCAGCTATCCAGCCATGCGCAATTCACAACGGATTGCCGCCACTGCTGCACGTACTAACTGCGCCGGACCTAAAGACCTTCGATGAATGAGATGCCATTGCCTGCGCATGGCTTGAACACTTTCCTTGATACACGACTGCAAAACGACACCCACAGTAGACATCGCAATTTCTTGCAGCATTACCCCATGCGGCCGAGTGCTTCCCCGCCCCCCCCCCACAGTCACCGCTCGTCGTATTTGCGAAGGGTACAAACTTCTCCGGTAATTTTGATCTGGCCAACGCTGATCGTAAACCGTACTCTACGTGCTATACACTAGCATGCTAGATGTACGCCCACTGCAGCAAGCGCGAAAAGGGTATTAGTATCAAGAGCCCATTGTAACCCCCAGAGCGTGACAACGCTGAAAGAGGAAACCATGGTGCTCATTTCAGCAAATTAATAAAGTTATACCTACCTGTATATGTAGTACTTCTCTACCGGAATATTATGCAGCGAGTCATAGCTAGCCAATATAAGATCAACCGCTGTCTCTACGATGTTCTATGCCGAGATCATAAGCGCCCTAGAAAATCGAGTAATTCCTAGTAATCCTAGCGCCAATATCACCCAGCTTAACACGCCTCTCGCGCGTGTAGTGACGCCATAGCATATATTACAACATGACTAACCATGGTGTTGTATATATCATGCGAGTCACTAAAAGTGCGAGAGGGCGTGATGGGCGCGTGATTATGCGCTAGGATTACTACGACACTTACTCGATTCTTCTAGCCTTTATATCTCGCATAGGGAACGATCGTACAGACAAAGCGGTTGATTATCATTGGCTAGCTCATGACTCCTGCATAATATCTCGCGTAGAGAAGTATCAAAATAAGTAGGTAAACTTTATTAAGTTTTATTCTGAAAACGACACATGGTTTTCCACATTCAGCAGTTGTACACTCGGGGTAATGGCTCTTGCATAGTATGTAGTGCGTGGCTCGTCCTGCGTCCATTAAAGAATCGAAGGTCTACAGGTAAACGCAGCAGTACATACCGGTGTGACTTACGAATGGGCAGACATTCAGGGATACCAGGGTAACTGTAGGCTGGGGTACACGGCAACCATGGCAACCCCCACCACTCGCTATTCGTCCATTCCAGGGTACAAGGGTGTCGCCATAGGCAACCGCCACCCGCTCCCTCTCGTCCGCTTCAGGTTACCGGGGTTCGCCACGCGACCGCGTCTCCGCTCGCAGACGCGTCCGAGTTCGAGCTTCTCAGCATCTTACCTAACGCCATCTCGTTGGAAGTCCGACTGAGGCTGAACAGCTTCCCGCTCGCTGGCCGGTCCTAATCCCCGCTGCCCGCTTCGCATCGGACGAGCGACCTCCGGCGCCCCCTTGCCCTGGACAGATAGACAGACCGTTAGTGTGTTAGAACGGACGGCAGACGGACAGATAGACAGACCGTTAGTGTGTTAGAACGGACGGCAGACGGACAGATAGACAGACCGTTAGTGTGTTAGAACGGACGGCAGACGCACGATTAACACGACGGACGGATAGACAGACCGTTACAGGGTTCATAGTAGTAAGACACATGTTGAAATAAGGACTTATAAGACCTATTCTGGAGGCTAAAATAAGACTTTTTTACGCGATTTCTGATAGATCACCGACTATTATAGTACACTAATAATATTTATACACAATTGCACAGCAGATTTAATTATTCCAGCTTATAAAAATGGTCCTTTGGCAAAAAATAAGGACTATTAAGTACTTTTCTAAGATTTCACCAAAAATAAGTACTAATAAGGGCCCTTATTTTATTTTTGGCAAAATAAGTACTTATAAGACTTTGGAAGACCCACTACGAACCCTGTGTTATGCCATCAGATGCAAAGAAATGCTGTGTAGTTACGACTATTAGTGTTGTGCGCTAGACGAACGCGCGCGGTCACAGCGTACCCTCGCTGATAGGGCCAGCCCACGTACTGACTCTTCGTAGCTTTCCTACGCCCGAGTCTGTTGGTAATAACAATTAAATGTTGATTAAACGTACTGCCGTACGTGTGTGCGTGTGGTGTGTGTGTGTGTGGTGTGTGTGTGTGTGACAGTGTGTGTGTATGTGTGTGCATGCATGTGTGTGTGTGTGTGTATTTGTGTGCATGCATGTGTGTGTGTGTGTGCTTGCGTGTGTGCATGCGTGTGTGTGGTGTGTGTGTGTCACTGTTTGTGTGTGTGTGTGTGTGTGTGTGTGCGTGTGTGTGCGTGTGTATGTGTGTGCATGCGTGTGTGTGTGTGTGACAGTGTGTGTGTATGTGTGTGCATGTATGTGTGTGCATGCATGTGTGTGTGTGTATGTGTGTGCATGCATGTGTGCGGTGTGTGTGTGTCACTGTTTTTGTGTGTGCGCGCGCATGCGTGCGTGCATGCGGTGAGTGTGTTTGTGTGCATGTGCTTGTATGTGTGTACGTGCATCATGTGTGAATGCATGTCTGTTAGAGCTCTACCAGTGTAGCTCCTTCTCTCCTGCTACTGGGAGCCTGTAGCAGGACCGAAGGGGCTACACCGGTAGAGCTATTTCTGTTAGGGACCAAGGATATAAGAGCTGTTCACATTTGCACGTGTCGCACATTTGCGAAAATGAATTGTGGTCAGCGCTTATATCCATGAACCGGTTCAAGGATAGAGATGATGTCCAGGACGGTGATAGGATAGGATGATGTTTATAACTGAGCATGCTCTCTATCCTTGAGCCCACGATCGAGCGCTTATTATATACATAAACCTCTGTTAGTGCTAGCTCCAGGAAACGGTATTGCTAGGGTTAGAATACCGTTTCAGATTCTTGCCCACAATTCCTTGTAGTTGGCTCGGTATCCAACCATCGACACAGCTAGCGTCACAGTTAATAGCTCAAACGAATCTATAAACCTCTGGCTTGCTCGCGGTAACTGGGCGCTACTGGGCGCTACTTATTTATTGAGTTATGCCGTTTTTCTGAGATGAATTGGATCAAAACAACCAGACAGCCGCCATGTCTGCCATGTTCAGTGCAACTAAAATCGGCAATGGACCTGATTTTCACACTGCGTAGGCCAAATACAACGCAAGTACATATCTTCGCAATGATAATTATTAAGTTGTTGTAGATTGACGATTCCTGGTTTTCAATGTTTTAATATTTATATATATACGAGTATATGATGCTTCTTTATGCTCGCGCCAACGCAAGTAGCAACGCTATGGTATGTTATGTCGTTTCGGGTTTAAAGTTGGTAGTAAAGTTCCTGGTAAAGGTTCTGGTGTAAAGTTGTGGAAGTGTTCAAAAAGATAGGTGAGATGTCCATGTT